AAACAAACAAACAATAGTTTAGCTTAATTAGAAAAAATGTCTACTACTGAGCATTATGGTCTTTTAAGATCTATCTATATGGCATCAATGTGACAACAGCACCTGAAAAGATGAGACAGGTATCTGAAGGGGCAGTGAGTCATTGCAATGCAGGAGGAACAACTCAGAAAAGAAGGGTGAGAATCCTTGAACAACTAGAAGAATGTAATCAATGTAACTGATTACACTGTACATGCAGAAACCATTTAAACGGTGTACATTTTGCTGTATATATTCTTAACAATAACAAAATAAATTTTATAAATAAAACTTTTTAAAAGTTAAATATCTTCTCTTTAATAAAGTCCTTGAACTGATGAGTCAATATCTGAGTGCTTTTCAGTATTTCATCAATATGGAGCATTTAATCTCTTGTTGATTCCATTATTTACAAGATTTTTACTTAAGTTTTTCAGAATTTATTCTGTTATATTATTATTTCTTACTTTTATAACTTTCTTATAAAACTTTTAATAAAAGTTTAATTTGTATCTTAAAAATTTCTGGGATTTCAATTACACTTCTTCAGTATTTCTAACAACTATTAACAAACAAGTCTACTAAAGAATTAAACATGTTCTGTTTAATTTCATATCAGCCATAAAGTTACCCAGAATGAATCCACATTATTTCCCCTTATTTGTATCACAGAATGTTCACAATGAGATTGAGTAATTTTACTTTCCTTATTTTCATGCATCCTTTCATTATCGAAAATCTTCAAAGAACCAGTTGAATTTAACATTACTTTTTGGGTACACACATAACTGCAAAAAAGACATGGTCAAATTTGTAGAGTAGGATTACCAGTGAGTGGCAGCATGGAAAGCCAATCCCTAATGATTTCTATGGCTGAGTTCAACAAAAGCTTTCCTTATTCTTAACTCATTCAATAGGCTGCTTAGAACCAACCACCACTGGCTCCAATACTAGGGTTAACTCAAGGAGCCCTGGTAGTGCAATGGTTAAGCACTCAGTAGCTACCCAAAAGGTTGGTGGTTCAAACCCACCAGTGGCTCAGTGGGAAAAAAGACTTGGCAATCTGTTCCCATACAAATTACAGCTCACGAACTCTATGAGGCAGTCTTACTCTGGCCTACCGAGTTGCTATTTATCGATGGCACACAGTAATTGCTCATTGAGGGTAGGGTCATCTTTTCATCCTTGATTCTGGGGATGTCAATCAGCACTTATAACAATCTCACACATTTTATTTAGGAAAAAGGTGGAAAACTAGATATTAGTTATTATTTCTAAATTTCTTCTTGCTTAGAAGCATGTTTGATTAATTTCTATACGTACTAAGAAATACATCTTCAATTCTTAGCATGAGTTTGAAATTCTCATAAAACATCTTTTTTTTTTTAATATGAGATGCATGGATAGTTTAACTTAAAGACTATTATGTAACTATTTCACTTACTCACAAATCCCCAAATATCTTGCAATGATTTACCAATCATTTTCTGCATACTTCAGATTTATCCAATATTGGTATGTTTCAACTACTGCATTGAAATTTTAATCATAATATCACAAACGTCACAAAACTATAGAATCTTCATTTACATTAAAAAATGACAAAAATGTGGCTCAACAGTATATATGTGGAATTTAGCTAACCATATAGTTAATATAATACTAAGCCATACTTGATGCAAATGCTAAAATGTTATTATATTCTACAGCTATATTAACAACCAAGAAGCTAATACTGCCACTGTAATCTTACGTAGCTTAGATAATATCCTTAGAACACAGTGTTCACTCTTGAAGATTCAGATTTAAATAAGGATATAGACCTGCTGGAGATCACCTAAGGCAAGCAACCAAAATACTAAAAAGTTTGAAAAAAAATATGATAAAAGCAAGGATAGTTAGCCTGGAAGAAAAAGAGAGAAGACAAAAAACCATCTTCAAGTATCTGAAGTATTTTCTTAAGGTTGTCTTGTTTTGTGTTATTCTAGGCAAAGAAGAAATACTGGGTGGAAGTTTCACAGGCATTTGAAGTCAATTAGAAGAGTAATTAAAAAAAAAAATCATTTCTAGCCAACCACAGAATAAACAGTTTAATTGTTTAATTTATAAAACATTGAATTTCTTATAATCTAAAGATTAAAAAAGCTGGATAATAAAGCACAGATGGTATAAAAAGGATTCTGATATGGAATGTACATATTGTTTCCAAATAATATGGCCTAGAGCTGTGTTTCTAATACTTTAATATGCACATGAATTACCTGGGATCTTGTTAAAATGCAGATTGATTCAGTTCCTCCAGGATTAGGTCTGAATTTCTGCATGCCTAGTGCCTAAGGTACTTGACTGCTAACCAGAAGGCTGGGGGTTCAAACCCATCAGCCACTCCTAGCAAGAAAGGTTGGGCAATCTACTTCTATAGTAATACCGCCTCAGAAACCCAAGGAGAGGTCGCTATGAGTCAGGTCCGACTCAAGGGCATGTAACAACAACATGCTGCTGGCCAGGGGACTGTACTTTAAAGGACCTACATTTACCAAACACCTAGAGTCACACCGAGCTTTTTCAATTAACAAATCTACTGCACAAGAGGAAACAAAAAACGGAAGACAATAAATACAAATAGTAGAGAATACAATCTAAGCTTTAAAAATAAAAACCCAAATAATTTCATCTAATTAAAGCCAAAATTATATCATGAAATAACTTACTGCGGCTGGTAAAGGAAGAGATCGATAATGTTATCACGTCCCTTGGGATGGTTGAAGAAAACAAACAGAGACCAGTGAATGAGCCATGTTCGCTGCTGAAGAGACTGGAGTGGAGAACTCACAGACTAAAGGATTCAAAAATGTATATATGACAACTATGAGTACATGAGAAACAGGCTAGAAATTAAACACTGCTAGACTCACTATTTTAATTAAGACCTAGTTAGTACCTTCTAACACATGATCTGGGGTCATTATGGTTGAGGTCTGGTTTCCCACACTTCCTACTCTCTACATAATCCCTCATGTTCAAAATTATTACCCTGTTCTCAGGGACAGATTCAGTAATGTTGGCTAAACCATTCTTACGGAGGCTGTAAATTACACTCATTTCCAAAAATATTTCAAGATAAAGTATTGAACTAAAAAGTGGTTTTACTGGATATTAATTGCAGATGAAAACTCATCTCCTGCATAAATTAAACCAAACAAACACTGCCATTAAGTGAATTCCAACTCAAAGCAACCCTATAAAACAGAGTAGAACTGCCCCATAGGGTTTCCATGGCTATAAATCTTTACTGAAGCAGACTACCACATCTTTTGGTCAGGAACCAAGGACTTAAACATTGCACCACCAGTGCTCCTATCTTCTGCACAGGACTCTCAGTAATACCTAGCACTGACAGCACAGTGTCATTTTCAGGGCATTAAAAACAAGGCACAGTAGCTATAATGGAAATGAGAACTGTCTTCTTTTTCTGTGAGAACCAAAAGATGGTTTAATCTTTTCTTCGATGAGACTCAGTGAATCTAGTCAACCCACTAATCTACTATGATTTTCATGTTAGGTCAGTAGAAGCTAATCTGAACATTTTAGTTTATTTTAAGTAAGTACATAGTGTCTTCCTTACCAGAAACTATGAAAGATACATAAAATTGATAGGAAGAGGGTAAATGCACAAATTACTTTAGGGTAACTCACATTATTATCTATGGTCTCTTTTAACCGTGTCAGGTCTTCCATGGCTGCATCCCAATTCTGCATTAAGATTTCAGAGGCGAGTTTTCCCCAAAGTGAACTCAAAGCATTTCTATCCGTTGCTGGAACCTGGTTTAAGCAATTATATTTAATTATTTTCTGAATACTCTGGAGAACAGATAAATTACACTCCCAGTAACTGCTGGATCCAGATTTAAACATATCGTTGCTGCTGTTAATTGCTCCTAAGTTTGTGTTGACTCATGGTGACCCCATGTGTGGAGAGTGTAACTGCTCCACAGCTTTCCATTGCTTGAGCTTTTGGAAGCAGATTGCCAGGCCTCTCTTCTGAGTCGCATCTGGTTGGGATTATAGTTCAGTAAATAACGATTTGTGCCATCTAAGGACTACTGATTCAAAAATAGACAACTTGATGTTAGAGCCATGAAAGCTGTAAATTTTATACCACAGTCTTAATCGACAAAAAAGGAGAAGTGAGGGCCATTCCTATCTCATCTCTCCACTAATGGAAGTTGTTGTTGTTGTTGTTATGTGCTGTCAAGTTGGACCTGACTCATAGCGACTCCTCCTTAGGTTTCTGAGGCGGTATCACTGGAAGTAGATTGCCCAACCTTCCTTCTGAGGAGTGGCTGGTGGGTTCGAACTGCCAGCCTTCTGGTTAGCAGTCAAGTGCCTTAGGCACTATTCTACCAGCACTCCTACTAGTGGAAGCAGATCAAGAAAATCAAAACATTTAAAAGGACAGGCTAATAACAAATACAAGTAAAGCAGACTACCTTAGAACAAGGCAACAGAAGTACAAAGAATGACACTGAATTTATCTTATGTGCAAAAGCAGCAAAAGCAAGTGAGGGTGCTGGAAGGAAAGCATATATTTCTATACCCCATGATGAAATTTAGAACTTTTTTTCTGAAGGACTTACATGATAGTATAATTATAAGATACTATTAGTTTATAAGTTAAATAAATCACATAAGCAGATTTGAAATCTAAGTACCAAACATCCTGAGTCTTCCACTTATATAGGCCAAGGGGTGGCACAAATAGTTAAGCACTAACCAAAAAGTTGGCAATTCAAACCCACCCAGAGGTGTGTCAGAAGACAGGCCTGGCAATCTATTTCTGAAAGGGCACTGCCTTGGAAACCTTACAGAGCAGTTCTACTCAGCACAGATGGTATTTCCATGAGTTAGAAATGACTTGGCAACAAATCTATGCTTTAGCTTCCTCATCTGTAAAACGAAGACAGTAATAGAACCGACATCAGTTGCTGTCAATTAAATCTGTTGAGTTAAATTTTAAAAGATATCCACAGAACCAATGGTTCCTATTATATCACAAAATAGGTCTACAAAACAACTTGTACATCAATATTCACGACAGCTTTATTTATAATAGATAAAAAAATAGAAGTAATCCAAATGTCCACTAACAAGCACAGATAAAGGAATTGTGATATATTCATAGAATGGATTACTACTCAGCAATACAAAGAATCTGACTTCTGATACACACAATTCCATGAAGCTCAAAAACTTACTGTTCAAAATAAGCAGGACGTAAGCATACATCCTGTATTGTTACATTTATACAAAATTCTAGAATAAGCAAAACTAATCTATAGAAACAAAGCAAATCAACAGATTTGCAAAACCTGTTCCAACAGTCCGGGGATGGGAAATGAACTGAAAGGAACATAAAGTCTTTTGGGTGACAGAAGCATTCTTTGTCTTGAGAGGGACAGTGGTTATACAGATATATACAAATTCTTCAAAACTTGTAACATTAAAAGGTTGATTTTTAAAAATTTGTAAAATAATTGTTCTAATTATGAAGGATAAAATATTTGACCCTTTAAAGAAAATTTGAGTATTAACTAGTTTGTTGAATCTATGATGGCGTTACTTTTAAGATACACTATTATTGTTTCTGAAACCAAACACAACCCTAGATGCCACCACTTTTTAATAAGACATATCCCAATTTCAGATGTTAAAATATGAAAACCTGTATATCTGAGAATCGATATGAAACAGGCATTTTTTTAAAAGATATTATCAAACAGGATACATCAGACCCAAAACTCCAGCCAAGACCCTAAAGCTTTCAAAAGTCATCTATGCTTGAGGCTTGAGTCTCAAGTAGCCTAAGATCTAATGTACATATTTCACAGTACAGCAACTTTAAGCTCTGAATGTGCGTGGGGGGGGGGGGGGGGGAGACTGCAACCACCAACAGTCCTAGGGCCTAACAATCACTTTTATTTCAAATAGCTACTAAACAGGTTTGAAGTCAGACCAAAGGCCATAGTGAGGGCAGATTCTAGCAAAATAATTAACTAATGGTATTAACTTCCAACACAAAAATGTTAAAAAATTCCTACCAGTCCCACCCCCTCATTTCATTTGAAATTAACTCATTTCCTAGAGCGTAAATCCAAGGAAGAAGTTTCACAGTCAAACAGGGTGCACCTAAACACTCCTGATGGAGACTAAAAGCCACGAAATCTTTTTAAAATAAGGGATATTCTAGGGTCACACAGCTTTAATTTATACAACACTGGCCTCCAATAGGTCACCCAGAGAGTCAAATTCTAATCTCAGATCATAGTTACAATGGTTCTTTCATAGCTTATGTTTCCCTAACCATAGATTTAAAAGAATAACAAACCATCAGAAAAGAATTCAGAAATGAAAAAGGCTATGGCAAAAAAAAAATAAAAAATAAAACTAAATAACTAGTAACCAACACACTGACATTTTTTATGCCAAATCCAAAAACAGGATTTTTATCTTTATTACTAAAACTTCAAACAAATATATAGATTTTACCTAAATGCCAAAGAAATAAAAGACTCTACTATTTCACACTTAGCTTTGTTAGCCTTTGCCAGTGCACCAATGAAGTAACTGTCTCCCTCCTACCTAAAAGTTTTATGGCACAACATGAGACAAAAATTGAAAATGAATTAAAAATAAATTGCACATCACTTTTAATCACTACCCAATCCCTACATTACTGACTGCAATTAATGTAAACATTACTTTTGTGATCAAAATTCTCAAAATACCATAGCACTATAGTTTGAGTTCTAGAAGAAGAGTATATCAGGGAAAATGCAAAAGCTTAAAACTAACTCAGAAAGTTTTAATGACAGGGAACTAACTTGGACCTTTTTGCCCAAAACCTTTAACTATATACCTACTACTTGTAGAAATTTTCAGACTGATTATAAAACCATAAAACCAAAAGCAAAACACAATGATGCTAGTAAACCTAGACTATGTTACACGTGGCAGGAGAAAAGCTTTCTGCAGCAGTGCGGCAGATTCCTCAGCCCCCGAAAGGCTCATGCAAACCACTCTGGCTCAGCTCCATGTCACTACAGTTGGCTCTTCATACCAACCTGCTTTCAAGGCTGGATATGCTAGAAGAGTTTCAGTATCTGGATTTTCCAGCAGTTACCTTAAGTTTCCATGTCTTAGCAAAATGGCACATTCACTCACAGAGCAGTAACAATAAATTTACTGTGTTGAAACTCTAACATGACACTAAATCTTCATTCTCAAAATTCACTCCCAGCATTAACAAATGATATGAATAACCAACTCTTTTCATGTACCTGTAATGATATCAGGCTTCTGATTTTACAATCCTGGTTTAAGCTGTTTACATTTCCAAAGTAATCAACTTTTGCTTTCCTAAATCCTTCATAATATTCAAGTTAAGACTGATGGAATTTTCTGATAAGCCACTACAAGGTTAGCATCACTGATTACCTTCAGTGCTCTTGCAAGCTAACCACAGCCAATGTGGAAGAATTCATCGACAAATGGGAACAAGGAAAAAAATACATGTTTTCAAATTAAAGTTCAAAATAAGTCAAAAATCTTTATTTCTTTAAAGAGGGATGGTAGTTTGAAAAAATAAGATTGAGTAATTTTTTAAGTGTCAGAATTACTTAAGTTAATGACAACAATCCCTTTCCCTCTCCCTCAAAAGGAACATTTCATTTCCTAAAAAACCACAAATGTTAGCAATCACAAAATGTCTTTTCTCCTTGGCATGCAGTTTTAAAAGGGAAGAAACATGCACCAGAAAACAGGTAAAAGAAACTAACTCTCCCAAGGTTAGAAGACAAAAAGTCCCTGTCCTAGATTTTTTCCCAACTCTAGGATTAGCTAGAGAAATCTGTTTGTTGGGAAGGCATTTTTATTTTTTTCCCTTTGCCAAAGATTTAAACAGCCCCTAACCTACAGATGTTTTGGACAATCAGGAGAATCCTACAAGAGATGACAAAGAGAAAAAATTACTTACCAGCACTCTAAAAAAGTACAGATATTCAGCTGCTCCGGAGTAATTCCCGCATTCATACTGGAATTTTGCATACCTGTAGAGAGTGTCTAAATATTCCTGCCTAAACTAAAAAGAAAATGATTACATTTTTCCCCCCAAGTTTTAAAACTGAAGCCATTTACCCTTTTAAAACCCCCAGAAGTAATTATTTCAAAGTCTCTCCAAGGTTACCCCCCAAAATAAATACCATGGTCAGAGAATTATTTGACCTTTAAAGAATACATTACAAATAGGTGGATCTAACATTTGCCATTTTGACCTCAAAGAGTTATGAACTGTAATGACATTTAA